CTCATCACATGATCCGAGCGCGCTACGGCAAGTGAAAGGGGTCTTTAACCGGCGGCGCGAAGTGGGGATGTTCTTCAGTCATGTTTGGGAGCAATATTCGAGGACGGGAGGAGCAATATTCCGGGACGGGAGGGGGCAATGTAAATTTCAAGTCTGCAACGCAGTCTTCCAGTGCTACACCTGCAGCTGCTAGTCGTGGTCAGTTCTTGTGGGTATTTTGTAAGCTTCGTGCGATGCATAAGCTCATTCATTGTGTCCTAGCCTTTAGTGCAGGCCGTACGCTCAATAAACCATATTTATATCATCTCTGAGAGGCTTATATCATCTCTGCAATGGCCAGGAGAAGCTGGGAATCTGGGTACCCTCAGCAATCCTTGGTATGTTTATATAATTTAAAGAGCTGTCCTTTTCACATATGTAGCTTTGGGAGATGCATATGATTAAAATAATAAAACCCAAACCACCAAGATAATTAAAAAAGACTGTTGAAATATAATCAGAATTGGTTAAAATTATAAATGCTTTGGAACAATAAACACGGGAGAATGCCTTCCAAAACTCATGAGCAGAATTGCCTTTATTCAAGGGACTGTAACAAGGATACAGCCTTATTAATTATAAGCATTTTCTACTGTGATTTAATATTTTCATGAGAGTTTATAAAGTAAAAGTAAATGCTACTTTAATAAGTTAGGCATAAAAATCAATTAGCACAATTAAAAATCTGTCTAAAAATCCTGTGGGAAATTACTTTCCTTGCTTTTGAATTTTTAATATTCTGCCTTCCTAAGGGAAAAAGCAGCTACAGAGACTAAACAGATTTGACACTATTGAAAGAATGATTGAAATGCATGCTACCTGAGTATGATGACTGAAGATATAAATTGATCTTTCAAAACATCCATTATATATACATATATTTATTTCAGGCTGGATACTACTTTCTGTCGAGTGTAGTTTCAACACAGATTTGTTATTGAAATAATATGTAGAAAAAGCAGCATGTAAAATTGTTTTTATCTAGGTTTTGGAGAAATAATCACAATAATTATTGGGAATCATAGTCACGGGGTGGATGTCATATGTGTGAAGTGAAAGGCTGGATTAAAATGCAGACAATGAGGATATGCCAGCCTTCCCAAACCTGGGATACTCCTATGCTGGCTGGGAATTCCTAGATTTGTAATCCCAACTCATCAGTTTACTTACATTCACTTTCTGTTACCTAAAGCTTGCATTGTAACCATTATGCCCTGCTAGGTTTCATTGGTAAAACAGTTGGGCTCGTAATCAGAGATTCAGTGGGAAAAAACGCTCAACATTTATTTACTTATTAAATTTGGTGCTGCCTAACTCCCAACCATTCTGGCCAGCTCATGACAATGAAACAAAAAACTATAGCAAAATCAATTAAAGATAAAAGATAGGGGTCTCACCTTCCCTTGTTACAGGCCTGGGTGAAGAGTTTTCATGGTTCTTCTGAACAATAGCAGAGGGGAGACCATCCGGATCTTGGGAGGAACCTTGTTCCAGAGGGCAGGTGCTCAGATAGGTGTGCTTCTGGGATCCTGATAGATAACATTTAATTGAAGAAATCATTTAACCCTGCAGGATTAAACCAGTCAGGCAAATGCTCTGGGTGATAGGCCCTCAAGTAAGCAGGCAGTATGCCATGTAGAACTTTCTAGGTAGTGACCAGTGCCTTGAATCACACCTGGAAGCAATTGGAAATCAGTGCACCTCACAAAGCAGAGACATTACACAGGCATACTGAAGCCCATTACCAATTGAGCCACTGCATTCTTGAAGCAGTTAGAGCTTTGGGTGTGGGAAGGTGTATCCTCAAGTACAGCCCCATAAGACATGAAACTGCTAAATGTGTTACAATTTATGTCTGTTGCAATGTAAGAAAGTGAAAATGTCCTGCTGCAAAAGACATCATCAATTTACTGAATGTAAATTAAAAACAAGGTTTTCTTCTGGTTATTTTTTGAACAGCACCTTTTAATTATGCACATTTGCCACAAGGTGGCAGAAAGGTATCATTTCCATATCCTCTACAATGGTCTATTCTTTGGCTTTACCTGGGAGTCCCTCTCTCCTTGGACTGCAAATATAGCCTGAGAGATTTAAGGCACCAGAGAATTTACAATATTTGCATAGCCTACTGTTCTCACAGTGGGGATATCTACTTTTTCAAACTGCTCTGTTTTAAGACTAACTGTGATGAAACATTAAAACTCATGCCCATATCTGCAAAGCATAGAAATCAAACTTTCACATTAGTTTAATTAAATATTTTTTTAAAAAAAACCCTCCTTTCTGAGGCATGTAATGAAGAAAGAAATAATAAAATTGATGTGGTCCTTACATAAAAAAGAGGAAAGATTTGTCTGGCATAAGGCAATAAAATACACTTGCTAGAAAAGTGTACCTTTTCCCATCATTTGCAGGTTGTGATATTTGCTGAATGGCTTTCTTTGTACAATTTATTTATCATGCTAGCATGTCTGAATGAGCATTCTACTGAGTTCAGGTGAACTGACTCTTACATAACTCAGTTACAGTGATAATCTGTAGATTAAAAACCAAGGGTAGGGGCAGCATGGGTGCAGGAGTTTTTTCTCTTACCCTATCAACTACTTCCAGTGAAAAGTGCTCTCATTGGGTCACCAAGCCAGCCAGCAGAACAAGGTTTAAAGTGCTTCCAGGAGGCCAAAAAAGTAGTGACAGTGGCAGAATATTCCAAAAGGTGGGGCCCCCAGCAAAAAAGGCTCTTCTCCTTGACTCCATCAACTGAAATTCTTGGATGGGGTCCATAACAAGCTTCTTCGGGTAGAGTAAGTGAGGAGGGCCAATCCATTTGGGGCAAGTTGGTTTCTTAAATACCCTGGACCTATGCCATAAAGGGCTTTAAAGGTAGAAAACAACACCTTGGACTTGGAAGCAAATTCACAAGCAATGAAGCTCATGCAACAGTGGTGTTATATACATCCCCCTAGAGGCCTCCAGAACTATCCATGCCGCTGCATTCTGTACTAGCTGTAGCTTCCAAATATTCTTCAAGGGTGGCCCCAAGTAAGGTATATTGCAGTAATCCAACTGGGAGATGACTAGGGCAAGAGTGATTGCACACTAGGCCTCATAATCCAGGAAAGGGTGCAACTGGTGCATAGCCTGAAGTTGCGCAAAAGCTCTCCTACCCACAACTATAGGTGGAAACAGTTGTAGTTAGTAGATTACATTACCTCTGAAGATTACATCATGTTATCCATTGTGGATTTTTGAAGAGGATGGATGAAGGAGTAACAGATTTCCTGAACTGGTATAAGGTTGAATTAATTATTTCTTAAGTTGTTTTCAGCACTGCGATTAATTTAAAAGGACATTATATGGATTACATTAACAAATCTCTGGTTGAAATGCAAACTGGCCAGTCACATTTTTGCATGGTTGTACAAACCTAATCATGTGGTTAGCTTTAATGTTTAGTGTATAATATGTGAACTCAAATAATTGTGTTAATGAATAAACTATGGGTAAGCAGACGCTGCACAGCATGAACAGACTCAGAGGGTCTTAATCTGATTTACTTTTTCACATAGTATGACATCTTGCCTGCTAACAAAATACAAAAACCCTAAATTTTCTTGCGTAGCTATATAAACCATGATGGTTGGGATTTAGATGTGTCTGGATTTCCTTTTCAGAGCATCCAGGTTTAGCAACTGAGAGACTGTGATCCAGGTACCATCTGCTCATGAGAACATACTGCTGTCTTTTCCATAGTAAATATTTTTCCACAAGAAATGTAATTACAATTTTTTCTTGCATGGTTGTCTTTTAATAAACAGGCTAAGACATTGGGACTGGGGTGGGGGTAAAGAATAGGTGGGATGAGATGGAAACAAATTATCTGCTCCTTGCCTTGATTGGAAGAGACCTACCACTAGCATAACTTCACCAGAAAGTTAGATTGGATGCAGCATGGTCTTTGAGCTTAAAATGTAACAGTATTTTAGACAAAGACAACTTCGACATTGTAATCTTTTGCAAATTAGCCCAGTGGCTCCCACCCCCATCATAGTACTGAATAACTGTCAAATGGATAGGACAACACTTTGCCAATGTTTGCTAAATTTAAAACTTGGATAAAACTCAGCAGCACTTTTTCATGATCGCCAACATGATTGCTAACGTCCGATAACAGATATGGCAGAAGAAGAAGAAGAGGAAGAGGAGACAAGGATTGTTAGCTAGATTTGGGAAGTTAAACATACAGAAAGAAACCATTGGCAAACTACTTCTGCATTGTTTGAAGACAGCTACATGGATGGTCCATGAAATCACTACAAATGAGCTGGATTTAAAGGAAACTTGACTTTATATATACAGTACTGCTTATGGTATGTCTTTACACCATGAGGAATCTGGTCAGGAAATATTACTGGCTTTTACAGAAATGTAAGAGCCTGTTTGACAGGAAAGATGAATTAAGGGTAACTGCCTCTGAATGGTTTCTTTACATTTTCCTGTCTAAACTAGTCTCTATTCACTAGAAAACATCTGTACTTTTAATGTTTCTGGCAAGGAAAAAAATAATTAAAACAACAAACTGCACAGAGGAGTGAGGAATGCCAACCAAGCATTGTTCAGGAAGCCCTTGTAACTTTTAACCATATATAAACCTTTGTTTAAACTTTTGTTCTCAACCAGAGAAAGGTTTGCCATTTATATAACTTGCATCCTTATAAAGAAAACTGTTGCTGGATCTTTCAGATGCCGGCTGCTTTTAACAACCGATCGGAAGGTTCAGCGACTTCCCTCCAACCCTCCCCCCCCCCATCATTTTATCTATATAAGGCAGAATGCTCTCTTCCCCTTTCCTTATTCTCACAGTCCCAAATCCAGCGTCTCACAGTTGGGCTGCTGCCACCCGCACAGCTCGGCATTCTTTTGCCTTGTATGGCCAAATCCTTTGGGGTGGGAGGGGACCATCTGGGAAAACTCTCTTTTTTCATTGGCTGCCTCTGCCCTCTGATCCTGCTTTCCCCCAAACTAGGGAGATTAAAACAACAGCTAATTAATTTCATCCCTTTGCAGAAACGCTTCCTAGATCTGAGGGCTTTAAACAGTTTCTGTCTGAACCAGGTAGGTGCTCTTCCTTACATTTCCCTTTAGCAAGTGAGGATGGGGGTGGGGGGGGTTGATAGATGGAAGGAGACTTTCCTTGGGTAGTTTCCTGTTGTACTCGATCGCTTGGCTATTGCATTACAGTTCATAATCCAAAATTAATTGTTTTCTGTTGAAACAAATTAGCAGTAAGGCTCTCCTTTTAAGACCTGTTGTACTCCCTCGATTAATTGTGCTTACCAGTGGTTCTTAACTATGTTTATTCAACTGAGTTTTCTGGGTTTGCATGATGCACTCACCTACCTAGGCTTCTGAATCTATAACATGCTAAGCTAGAGTGTGATTGGCTAATTTTTGCCTCACGTCATGGATAATGTGCCATAAGGAGCACTGCACACAGGAGGTTCTCAGGTTTATAATGAATCATCTCTGTCAGTCTTTTCCAGTGTGATAGCTTCAAACACAGTATGTTGGAAGCTGTAGAAAACATCACATCTGGAGTGCAACAGGTTGGGGATAGCTGATAATGGTCCTTACAGGTTCACAAATGAAACTATAATTTGCTAAACAAAATACAATTTACTGGATCTGCACATTATAGTAGGATACAAACTACAGTTTACAAACCTCAGTGGCCAGATTCACATACTAATTAATCCAAAACCAAACAAATTACGCTAAGGTTAATACTTGACTGTGTTCCTTAACTGTGTTCTTAGAAGCAGAATTTCAATCAGGATTGCATAGATAAAGGGAAAAGAATCCACTTTGCCACTGCAAATAGTCTGGAATAGACTTGTTTATTGAGAAGTGTATTTGGTGTCCTTAAACATGATAATGCAGGTCCTCAACCCTGGAAGAAAATGTTCTTCTGACTAAAGATGTATGATCTGTACTAATGTATGGGGACCTGAGCTAAACCTTGAGCAGCAAATATTCTATCGATTTGTGCTAAACTTGAAAGCCCCATTGAAAGTCATCCAGTCCAGACCGAATGCTTTCCAATTATTTCCATTGCTGATCTGCATCTCGAAATCCAGAACTACAACATCCCTAGTTGGGTTGCTTAGCCTTTAACTGAATACTTTCCATCAGGGGAAGCCTCCAATTATTTCCATTGTTGAAGTGTTCTTTGCCATTACCCAATTGAGTAAGCAAAACAGATTAGATGAAAATGATGAAAATATATTTTTTTTCTGCAGTTTGGAAAGAGGAAACATCTAGACAATGGTAGATTGAGGAGCATAGTTTACAAGCATCATGCCCTAAAGCATCATTCAGACTTCAGTGTTGTTTGAACACACAGAACTCTGTAAGATATAGTTTCATATCGTATGTATGGGATAGTGCTGCTAGCTTGACATGCAGAGTGCTTCATTCTGTTGATTATAGAACCATCTTCTGGGTGTGTATCTGGTACCTTTCCTCCTCAAAACCGGTTAAATGCTAAACTTAAGCAGAAGCTATTTTCAAGAAACACTAGAGTTCAATAATATAGAATTGCAGGATAACATGTTTGCTGTATCAATAGCACATGCTTGCCAGTCCTGGCTACTTTTAGGCTACCCAGAATCAGTTAAGTTTCCTTTTGGCTTGTAGGCACTAGGTATGTTGATTAAAAAATATTTGGTAAACATACAGTTTCATGTTTATTTTAAAAAGAGATCTCAAGTATAACTTGGAAGAGCTGAAGGTGGATGAATGATCATATTCATGAATGTGATGAGATGTATTCTTTTACATATTCAAGAATGCTTTTTAAATAATATATTATTATTTTAGTACATATCTTCTGAATCTGGATTATTTAACTGAACTCGGGAATCAAGCAAGCCGCAAAACAGATGTTTGCAGACTCTATCTCCCCTTATCTGAGCTAAAACAGAGAGAGGAACAAAAAAATTTGTCAATCTGAAGACAGTCTTTTAGTACACCAAGTCCTTTGCCCATATTTAAGAGTGCAAATAAAACAGAGGAGTTGTGTGTGCATGTACATGTATATGCCTGTATGCGTGTGTGTGCACATGTGTGAGTTATGGAAGTATAATTTTTGATCTACAAAACATACTGTAAATATGGAGTACTAGTCCAGTATAGTAAACAACTGGCAAAGAAGGAAATCTGTGGTGAAGAGACAGCATCCCTCGACTTATCAAATGTCAGTTTTAAACAGTCTAGAGATCTAAGCTTTGTTTAACTATATTTATTGAATAAACATCTTGCCTGCTCAACACACTTGGCCAAAATCAAATAAAGCCCACCATGCTCAAACCTTTTGGGGATCATAGGAAGTATAGTATATTATACCTGGAGAGAACCAGCTTAGAAAAGGCTGCTATAGTATATCACTTATCTAAAGATTAGCTCCTATACTCTTAAATGGTATATATAAATGGTATACTCAGATTATGGCTTGTACACAAACCAATGTGTGCAAGCTCCATTCCACTGAATAGATCATATGTGACTAGAATATTGTGTGACTGAAAAAAACCTTTTTATTTTTTTGCGCCACTGAACCTGTGCCAAATTCCTTCCCCAAGTAGTGAAGACGAGGAGTCCTAACAACCATTTAAGGACAAGAGATGAAAGCAAGAACTGGTATGGCAATTAGAAACTCAGGAAAAGGTTGGCGAAATCTCACTGCTGTTAAGGAATCACAAGAAATCTGCCCAGAGGAGAAAAGAAATGCTTGCTTCCATGAGTCAAATTAATACCATGATCTATTAACATTATGAAAGGAAGGAAAATTTGATGTGGGTAATGTTGATTTTATGTCTGTAAGAGTCATTCTTCTTTTTCCTCTCTACTACATTTTATAAGGCCAGTTAAAGGGGAGAAATAGGTAGCTTACTTGGGCATGCTTGGTGAACATTCAGAGTACGGTAGTCCTTAACTTATAACCACAACTGAACCCAAAATTTCTTCGTTAAGCTAGACAGTTGTTAACTGAGTTTTGCCTCATTTTACGACTTTTCTTGCCACAGTTGTTAAGCGGATCACTGCAGTTGTTAAGTTAGTAACGTGGTTGTAAATGAATCTGACTTCCCCATTGACTTTGCTTGTCAGAAGATCACAAAAAGTGATACATGACCCCAGGACACTGTCACCATTATAAATATGAGCCAGTTGCCAAGAGTCAAAATTTTGATCATGTGACCACAGGGATGTTGCAATGATTGTAAGTGTGGAAGATGGTCATCAGTACCATTGTAACTTTGCACACACTAAACAAATGGTGGTAACTCAACCACTGCCACTGCTTTCTCCAAACCCTTCCACAATTCACAGAAAAGCTCTAAGAGGAAATAATGAACAAGAAAAAGCAGATAGGCTGGCTACAGCATCATAGCAAATAGGTTAAATGAAGATAAACCTGAGTGGAAAAACCAGGAGATTTTCAGACCAGACCAGGAACATTATATGCAAGAGGAACTTTCAAAGCTTCCTTGCTCTGTGAACGGAACAAGGTGTCAATGAGGCTTTTAGATTTCACTCTTTTTTTTTTTTGTTACTAGATTAGTGTAGAGGTCAGTGAATAAAGAAAATCCAGCAGAGAGTGGTTACTTCTTTGCTTTCCTTTGATAGTTTCCCCTTTAAAAGTACTACTTTTTAAAATACTTGCCTTTCCCACCACTTTTATTATACATTTCTAATTAAAAGCCCAAAGTAATATTTAAGGTGGCATGAAAATATTTTCTTATGTAGTCAGAAATAAGCATTGTTATGCATGACTGTAATCACACTGATGTTAGTAAACTACTGTTGCTGTATCTGTGCAACAACAACACACATACAAACATACAAGAATCCTTTCAAATGACTTGAATATTTTTCATGTCAAGAAGCAAAAATCAACTAGATTGCAAAGCATTGACTCTTAGTGATATATTTGCACCATTGAAACTGCTAGCTGTAAAGACAGGGCTAGTTGAAAGGAAACAGAAATGAAACAACAGGCTAGTTTTCCTTCAATTGCCTGGGTTGAATTGATCCATCTATTCTATGACAATCAAGGCTCTTGATCTATTCTGAGATATAAACCAAAGTCCCAGGGTTCCGCTATGACACTTGCCATTGTCTTATTTTTATCTTATCCATAAACATAATTAGCCAAATTCCTAAGTTTATTAAGAGCATGGCATTCTTTGCTGTTCCAGATTTAGCACTTAATCTTATGCACAACCTATGAAATCCATGTTTTAAACAGCATTGCAAATGGATGCACAACACCCCCTTTTCACATCAGGACAAATCTGATGAAAATGCTACTTTGTACATAACTAACGCAGTTGAACTTGCACTTGTACTAAGCTAAAACATGGTTTAAACCTGGAAACATTTTGCTGGTTAGGAAGTAGTTAGTTAAACAGAGAAAAAAGCTGATGTGTGGCAATTTCCTTCTTTCTAAATTTTCAAGCCAAACTTTGATACTGCAGGCAGTATGATAGTACAGGAGTTTCTTCACTTTTGTTTTTCTATGGATATAGAAAGTCAGTTTATAATTTTAAAACTCCTGTCAAGAAATTTTCAGGAAAGAATATTAGGTGCTTGTTTTGCTTTGTTTTGTTTTAGAAACAGAAATATAGCCAGGATATCAGAAAATATAACCTTATTTGATAATGTTCTCAATAGTATTTGATAAGCCCCATTGTGAGCAATGGAAACTTGTCCTGGAGTAAAAGATGCAGCCGAAACATAGTAATAGATGAGAACCTAAGAATAATGGAACATTAAATTCCTGCAAATATCACTTAAAGAGAATTAGTAAACCCTAATAAACAGTATATATTTCATCTTCATCATTTTGGTAACTGCAGGTTAAATATTTTCAATTGCCTTAACCATGTTAAACTTATTTTTACTGTTTCATTGTCGAGATTATAGGCTAAGATATTGTCATATTAACAAAGAAGCAACCTAAACATTTTTTGTGTGATTATTCCCTTATTTTCATTGTGTGCATGCATGCAGTCACACATATATGATTTCTTTTGTGGGAATACATGTTATATAAT